GAAGTTGAATTGGCTTATATGATTTGTAGATGTATATATGGCGAATTTTTATTGTATTTTTATTTGAATTTGTGATTGTGATTTTAGGGTAGATTTTTTATTAGTTTCTCGGTAATTGTCACATTTTATCATAATTGATGTTGTGTAGTAACTCAACATATATTGTTTTCAGAATTGGAATCAGATTTAATTGTGTTATTTTCTGTGATTTGCTATTAGAAATTGTTAGGAATTAGTATATGCTATTTTTATTTACTAATTTCAGTAATTAATGGTTTTATAATTGTATAATGGTTGTGCTAAAGCTACTGCTACTCTATGATTTATTGATTGCATACCTAATAGTGTTTTCCTTGTGTGTGTGTGATGATGATGAGTTGATTTCTGCAATCGGGTTGCCTTGTTTGGTTTGCAAAGGACATAACAGCTTGCAATTCCCTTGGTATTCTCTGCCTGAATTTGAATGACTGAATTTGGTGCAAAGTGCTGTTACTGTTAGATGAAATGATTAAACCTGATTATCCTTAGTGACACCATATTTTGGTGCAAGTGACTGATCTTTGTTTGAGTGCTTTGTTGTGCGGATTTGGTGCCCTTTTTTGTTGTAATGAATTTGTGAGTATAATAGTATCTAATGTGATTTTGTTAATAATTTTGGATGTAAATTCATATGATTATGGGGCCTGTAAAGCATTGCTTATGAATTAGAGCTGTTGTTATGTGTTCTTGTATGGTTTCATTGTGCGTTTGTGTAGAGGTTGCCTTGTGGCTTAAATTGAAATTACGGGCTGCTGTGTGTGAGAAGCAGAGCAGGGGCAGTGAGGGAATTACGTGGGGTAAATTGGATTGAAAATTTCTTTTTCTTGCAGAATAACTCTTACGAGTTGTTATCGTCTTGACAACACTGCTCCTACAAATTAATCTTAAGTCTGGTAACATATCAACACTTGATAGTAGTGTTACTTTATCAATTCTTTCATAGATCTTCCCACTTGCACATTAATATCTTTTTTCTTTGTCAACTTTTGTATAATCATAATTACATATTGTTAATCATTCAATACTTGCGTAGAGTTTACAAGCTTGCACAAACTAGAGAACCTAAGCTTCATCTTTGTTCACTGTTGTTCTGCAACTACGCTGATGTTATTCTTCTACTATGTTGTTGCTGTTGATCTGCTACTATGCTGCTGCTGCTTTGCTACTATGCTGTTGCTGCTGCTCTGCTAGTGATTGTATGTAGAAAGTTATTGCTCTTATAGTAAATATATCCAATGTATTTCTTTTTCTTTGTTTTTTGCATGTGTAAAACTACTAGTTATAAATGAAATTATCACTTTCAAGTATATTATGTATATATATAACAGTCTGCTACAATTTCAGGTGAAAAAAGCTAAAAAAAATAATAATTTTTTTTGTTTTTGTTAGGGCATTTTTGGCATCGGTTCTGAACCAAACCGGTGCTAATAATTGTGTTATTGCCACCGGTTCTGAACAAAACCGCTGCTAATAATTGTTTTATTGCCACCAGTTCAAAAACGGTGCTATAGGGGGTTTTGAACTGGTGCTCTTTTCTATTTTTCAACTAGTGTAAAGATTGCCTTCTCGCTCACTTCCACGGGAGCCTTACCCCTCAACCGAATTTCCTTCCTAAATCTACCAAGTTAAAAATAATGAGACCAATCATCTAAGATCGTCTCACCCGACCTACCCCACCTACCAAAAGTCTCGGGTTCGGGAAAGGTGAAGGATTAACTGGATCATACACATAATCACAACCCCTAGGACGCCTATAGTCGTAAGTGTCCAGGGTAGTGCCTATGATAGAAATAGGGTGAATATGGGAGCCCTCCCAATAAGGGTAACAAAGTCTAGGACCCACAGTAGGATCGAAAGGCTCCCATTAAGGGAAAGGTCCTTGTTGGACCGGGAGGTACTGATAGTTGACGTAAGGATCTATCTCACCCCAAGAAACATGCAAATCATATAATCGATACGTATGGTAATCATAAACAAGGGAAGGGGGTTGCACATAAGGCATGTACTACAACATGTTAGCAATAGAATCAAGTTTGGCATGAATTGTTGACATATCGAAAGTGTAAGGAGTGGGAGATGGGGAGGGAAAAGATGTAACTCCCGGTTCAACCGGGGGAAGAGAATGAGCAATATATCGATGAGCATGCATTAGTTGAACGACCTCTTGTACAATTTGTCCTTCATCGGATAGAGGGATGAACATCTCGCATCGGGGGCCTCCAGGACAAAGAATCTTTCTCCTCGGGACGAGTAGTTGCCTCTTTGCAAGGGATGACGAAACATTCCTTATATCGAGAGACCATCTAAATAAAAACATCGTCCTTACTCGTTTGATCAAGAAATTTTTGATTCACTAGAGCGAAGATGTTTAAGAAAAGCGAGGGGGACTTTTCTCTAGGATCAATAATCTGTTGAAGCTCGTATAACATAGCCTTGTAATTCTCATTGATGCAAAGGGCTTGGATAGAAACCATCCCACCCAATTGGATGCATCCCGACAGGCAAACTCCATCGCGAATATCCAAGAATTGAGAGATAAAATGCTCCGTGAAATCTACCGAATCAATCTCAATGTCATTTTGGTTGGCTATCCACAACCAACAAAGCTCCTCACAGGAGATAGCTCCCAAAGAGTCCTTGGAGAAAAGAGTGTATGTGAGGATTCAGTTCAAATATCGCATAGCCGGATGAATCATAGAAGCGGACTTTGAAGTCTGAGGGTCATACTTTCCTTCTTCCGAGATACTCCTCAACCAACGTTGCTCATCATATCCATGCTCACTTGCCATTCTACTGTGAGCTGGATAGATACAATGATCCGGAACCTCGGCCCAAGAAAACTTAAAATATGAACATAGTTGAGCATCCGTTAAAGAGTGATAATAGTTGAAGAGTTGGAAAGTCAAAATCTTTGCGTAATTTGCACCTGATTCATGGACAACCTCAAGAGAAGAAAGGAATTCATAAGTCACCCTAGCATAGATAGGGGCATTCAAATCCAAGAAGTCCAAAAGATCAAGGCCTTCCTCATGGAGGCAAACATCCTCATCAATCCCTAGAAACTTTGTTGTCGTTTGATCATAGAAACGCGTTTGCCTAAGCTTTCTCTTTAAAAGACATTTGAAGCACTCCCAATGAGATTGTTTTGAAATCTCAATTCCATAGGTTTCCTCAAACTCCGGTGCAGGTGGAACAATATACCTCGGCTTACTTGAACTAGCTCTAGCTCTCATCTTATGACAAAGTGTATCCATCTACAAAGTATCAAGACTAAGCATAAGTAGTTGTTCAACAGCAAGCACAAAATTGAAATAGTTCACAATAGAAGCAAGAAATGGTAACAAATGAACAATGTCATTGATAACATCATGAATATTAAGCAAATAAACATGAATTGAAGGCAAACTGGAACATAAGATTCCAAATCATGAGTCAATTTTAAAAATAAATCCTAATCATTGAGTTATCAAAGATATGAAACTAATATAAAGAAAACCCATGAGAGAGAAAATAGCCAACAATTATTATTCAAGATTCAATCAAAGTTCACACATTTATAATGAGGAAACTTCAATTCAACATCCAACAATATCATTCAACATAAATTCCAAGTGAAAAGTACTAACCATAGAGTTTCACCATGAAAGTATGAAGGTTCAACATAAAAGCATAGAGGAAGATGATTAATAGACAATAAGAAACCATACCTCAATGAAGCCTTGAAATGCTTGAAAAATGCTCAAAATGAAGATGTAAGAACAAATAAAACTCCCACAAACAAGCTCCAAACCACAACACAAATATTCAAAATTTTGAAAAAGACCCCATTTTTTTTTTAATTGGGGAAAGAAATTTGAATATTTTTTTTTTTTAATTTTAGATTTGAAAACTTGATTTATCAATTAAAATTGATGTTGAAATGATAGCAAAAGAGGTGAAGTAGGCTTAGTATTGCAATATAGGGTTTTAGGAGGTAAAAATAAAAGAATTGAAAGAGAAGGTCCGTTTTGGGGTTATAGGGGCTGCCAGCAGTTGCCGCGCCCGCTGGTAAATGCCCGCGCCCGCAGGTAGACCGTGCCCAGCCCGCGAGATGTTCCTAGTCAGATTTTGGCATTTTTGGTGCACAGGTATCCGCACCCGCGGGAAAATACCAGCGCCCGCGGGAGATCTTCGTGATGCGCGTGCGTGCAGCTTGGTGCGTGCGCACCCCACACATCTCGGGATGGCACTAAAAAGAGAAATACCCCTTAAAAATGCTTTCGTGTTTACATTCTCACCGTCCTCACCAAATATCATGATTAAGGACTCAAAAATTTTATAAAAAAGAATCCAAAATATGTTTGAACATGAATAAAAATTGATGGGAATGCAAACACGAGAACATATAACCTCAATAACGCCTATCCTCTAAGCATAACCAAACCTCATAAAGTCTTGAAGTAGCACCAAAATTATTGGAAATTTTCTCCGATTCAATTCCCATGGTACCTAAGATCAAAAGAACAAACAAAAATAGAGAGAAATAAGAAAAATTCTCAAAGGAGGAAATAAAGAAAAATATTATATCAAAGGTTAGAAAACCGGGTTGCCTCCCGGGTAGCTCTTTTGGCTAACATTGTTAGCTCGACGTCCTCTACCAATTAAGGTGGTTGGCGGAGAAACAATAATTCCATCAAACTAACAAAAGCATCGTCGAAATACTTCATTAGACAATTTCCTTTAGCCTTGAATGGAGAAAGAAAATCTTTCATTGAGACTTTCAAAAAGACATTTGGAAAACCACTCTTGACCAAATTGGGAGCGCTCCATCTTGATCCCTTGGTGCTAAGGTGTGATGGAAAAGTTTTGACCTCAACCATTGATATACCTCCATCTTCCTTTGAAGGGGCGGCTTGTAAAGCTTCTTGGCTTGAGATATTCATGCATATATGCTCATCCACTTCCTCAATGATTCTATTAAGCTAATCTTCATACATTGTCACTTCCTTGATAGGAGCACCTATCTTATCCTTATTCAACAGGACATTCTCAAGAGGATCGTTAGAAGTGAGCAAGTGCTCATGCATGGATGATACAACAAGATAAAGAGAATCGATCAACATGCAATTTTCTAAAGATGAACATGGATATTTCATGCTTTCATTCAAGTCAAATTCAATAACCTCTTCTCCGACCTTGAGTGAAATCTTTGCACTCTTAACATCAATCACAGAACCCAAGGTAGCAAGAAAAGGTCTACCAAGAATAATGGGAATGGTAGCATCTTCATCCATTTCAAGCACCACAAAAACTACCGGAATTAAAAACTTCCCTACTATCAAAGGAACATCCCCAACCTTCCATTTGGGAATCTTAATTGACTCATCGGCCAATTGCAAGGTAATCTTAGAAGGCATAAGTTCTCCTAACTCAAGTTTTTGATAAACAGAATATGGTATTAAGCTAACACTAGCTCCTAAGTTACATACGGCGTTATCAATTTGCATCTTGTTAATGGCACAAGGGATAGAGAAGTTTCCAGGATCTTTCAACTTGGGTGGCATCTTGTTCATTATGATTGCACTACAATTCTCGTTTAAGTTGACCGTCTCCACCACATCACAAGACCTCCTACCACTCAAAGTATCTTTGAGGAATTTTGCATAATTAGGAATTTGGGTAACAATTTCAGTACAAGGTAGAAAAGATGAAGTTGCTTAAGCATATCAATAAATCTTTCTAATTGTTCATCAAACTTATGTCTCATGAATTTTTGTGAATATGGAATCTTGGGTTTCATAATATCTTTCTCCACTCTCACCTCTCTAGGTATCTCAATCCTCACTTAAAGATGCTCCATTTCTCTCATCCTCTACCAAGACTTCCTTAGGACCCTCCTTAGTTCCACTCTTTCTAGGAAAATTCTCCTCAAGAACCTTACCACTCCTTGTAACAATAGAATTCACGGGTCTTTTGGATCTAAGCCTTGGGAAGGTAAAGAAGAAGGACTAGCATGGTCTTTAAAGCATTAGCAAGTTGAGAAATTTGGCTTTGGATCAAATCCAGGTGGAGGGCCTCTTTTAGCATTATTTTGAAAATTGCCTCTCCCTTGATTGTTCCAATTACCACTATTTTGATTTTGAATATAACCTTGATTATGGTTACTACCACCTTGATTATGATTTCCATAACCTTTGTTTTGATTACCATAATTTTGGTTTTGATTTTGGCCACTATAACCTTGATTGTTATAGTTCCCTCAAGAACCTTGGTTCCTATAACAACCACCTTGGTTATAATTGTCAAAATTACCATGGTTTTGGTAATTCCTATTCCATTGAACCCATTGGTTATCAATATTTTTCACATTATTATTGTTTGACACAAAGTTCATATGTTCACTCTCATTATTGTAAAAATCATCATTACTCTCCGGAAAAGCATGAGGGCAGTTACTAGAATCATGATCATATGAACCACACACATCACAAATCAAACAACCACTAGGGATGTTTCTAGAAGAAGGAGGGGGATTAGAGTTAGAAGGAGTACCTCTCCCCTTAAATTGGGAGGGAATACTTGGAGTTTGGGAAGAAGAACTCTCTAACTTTTCCTAGATTGCACATACTTCCTTTCCCAAGTTTTCCATTTGTGAATAGAGATTGTAATTGCATTCAAATGATCAACCGAGTACCCCGAAGAAATACTCTTGATAGTTGAATCTCTCTCACCATCTTGCCAATCTCTATAATACTTTATAACATCCTCAATGATGTCCACCACTTCTTCTTCCGCCCTATTCATGATGGGACCACCGACTCCTCCATCTAGGCATGACTTGCCTTGGGGACTTAGGCCTCCATAGAAAATTTGAATAATTTGATAGGTTGGAATCCCGTGGTGAGGACACTCCCTTTGATGCTCCTTATACCTATCCCATTCTTCATAGAGGATGTCACTTGACTTTTGTTTGAAACATTGAATCAAAGCTCTTGCCTTCGCCGTTTTCTTTTGTGGATAGAAACGAGTTAGAAATTCCTTTGTAACCTCGTCCCATGTCATTAGAGAATTCGACTTAACCTCCTTGTCTAGCCATTCCAAAACATGCCTAATGAGAGAAAAGGGAAAGAGCTTGAGGCTGATGAATTCTTGGGAAACTCCGTTCACCTTGATAGTATTGTAATACTTTTCAAACTCCTTGAGATGATTTAGCGGGATCTCATGCTTTGCTCCACTAAATTGTCTCCTTTCTATCAAAGTGATCATAGCCGGCCTAATTTAAAAATTATTTGGCTCCACTCACAAGTCTATATGCACTTGGAATCCCTAATTCTTTCAATGCCACTCTCGGATTCTCTCCCATTCGTGCTTGTTCCTCTTGTTGCGATTCTTCTTCACTTGAAATGCTAGAGCTAAAAGATCACCTAGCAACCCTTATTTTTATTATAGTCCTTTCGATCTCCAGATCAAATGGAACAAGAGAATTACCACGTGCTCTATCCATACAACTCAAAGGAAATGATTAGTAGCATGGCTACAAGTGTAGCCTTAAAGAGGAAAATTTTTTTGTTGTTTTTTTTAGAATGAAATAGACTCAACAACTATAACAAAGCACCAATGTCATTCCCCGGCAACGGCGCCATTTTGATAAGGGGTTGAAACTAGGTCATTATCTAATTCTACCTAAGTCAAACTTAATTTCTAAACACTTAACAAACCTTATACGAGTATAGGGAAAGCTAAGGGTCGAACCCAAAGGAATGAATCAAAACCATGTTATAGTCTAATGCTAAGCTATTTCGAAGAATTGTCAAAGGTTTAGTATGGTAACTAGGATAACAATAATCAAGAATTCAATCAAATTTCTAAACACTAGGGATATAGGTTCCACATGCAATCTTAACAATCATGCTAGTTGATAGATCACCCGATTGACTCAAACGTTGAAAAGGACAAAATTAAATCGCAATCAAAGGAATTCGAGGGTTATCTCCTATAAACCAAAATAGGTTTCACTATGAATGATTACCAAGGAGAATCACAATCAAATTCAATTAATTAGATCAATTCCAAAATCAATTGTTCGTGTCATTGGGATTTGCAGTGCAATATAGATTAATCTTATAGGTTGATCACTCGAAGATTAATTAATCACATGCACAACTATGTCAACCAACTTAATTGCAACAATTAATCAACCAAGGATCATCAACTAACAATCAAGCATGCTTCCCCTTTTCCCTAGCAACTAATCTACTCACTAATCATTGTTAAATGTAAAAAGGAAATACAACGGTGAAATCTACTCACTAGAAAAAATTCAATTTCAAACATATTCTTCTCAAGCTAAATCAAAAGGAAATACAATCAATCAACAAATTCTCAAAACTAAATCAAATCCAAACCAAACATTCAAGCATAAAAGTAAATTGCAATTGAAGTAAATTCAAAGGAAAGAAAATCTTACTAACTTTGATTGATATGAAGGAGATTCACAAACTTGATTGAAGAAACAATGTTAAATTACAATTCAAATCCAAAGGTTACAATCTCTACTTTCTCTCTAACTTCTCTCTAGTTTCTCTCTTTAAAAACTAAGCAAATGAAATATTATCTAAAAGATAGCCTTCAAAAGGATTTACAAGAGTATATATAGGCAAAGAACAAAAGCTGGTCGGCCGCGCCCTCTCCTCGAAAACCCCGCGGAGAAATGGTTACGGAACCCATAACTACCTCCGCGGGCAGTCAAGGCAAAACCTGCGCCTGCGGGAACTATAGCCCGCGTTCGCGGCACAGGGCGCGGCAAAATGCCATGTTCGTAAAGAAACAGGGGGGCCGCGGTCTCTCTGATCCGGAGCGCCCTCTCAAACATCACTTCGCCCGCGGATAGACCGCAGGTAGGGCGCGGAGAGTTCTTGCCAAAAATCCCAAAAAAGTACACCAAAACCCGCGCCCGCGGCTCTATGAAAAAGAGGGAGCCCTCTCTGAGCTCTCTCCAAGCCCTCTCCATGAGACTTGATGCTCCTTTGCTTGGATCTTTTTGCTCCTCTTGAATCCTTTGCAAAGCTAAGTATTTAGGCACCAACACAAGAATCTAAGGAGAGAAAATAGAAGAGAAAAAGAGCAAAACAAAAGGAAAACACGAAGAAATGCACATAAAGGAAAGTAAAACACGAGAAAAGAAGATATAGAGAAACTAGCGGAGAAATGATCAAAATGGTAACAGAAAAGCATGAAAAGCATAGAGAAAATATCCTAAAAGACTACCTTATGAGGGCAATAAATGACACTCATCACCATAAGGAAGTTGGCCATGACACCAACGACTACATTAGCCTTCAGCGAGCGTTGGACCGTCTGGCTGACAAAGGGATGTTAAAGTCCTACGTTTCTAAGTTTAAAGGGACCAATAAGAAGAACCCGGGGCAATCATCTAAGACACCCCCGTCTGCTAGTAGCTCGAAAACTAATAAAGAGCCGGTCTACACTATAGCAGGCGGGTTCTCATGTGGTGGCCCCACCATCCGGGGCACCAAGAGCCATCTTCGAAAGATGGAAAATGATGCTGATGAGCAGGCGTCAGCAAGCTCCTCTTTCCTAGATGTTTTAGTCACTGAGAAGGACAGGGGTAGCGTCCACCGCCCGCATGATGCCCCGGTCGTCATTGAATATAAGGTCGCCAATCAGCTGGTTGGGCGGATCCTTATTGACACCGGCAGCTCGTCGGACATCATCAACAAGAGGTGCTTGAAAAAGTTGATGTATAAGCCCAGTAGCATGCACCTAGTAAACCACCCCCTGCTTGGCTTTGGAGGGGGCCAGGGATGGTGTACCTAGTCGTTAGGATTGATCTTCCCATCCGGCTGGGAGAGAAAGGAGAAGGGCGACACCTGGTCGTCAAGTTCTAGGTTGTTAAAAAGCTGACTAACTATAACATTATTTTAGGCCGGCCAACTCTCAATAAGGCCAAGGCGGTAAACATTCCTTCCCTCATGCTGATCATGTATGAGAAGGATGACGGTTCTGTAGGTTCCTTGAATGGGGATCAGAAGACGGCCCGGGAGTGTTATCTCACAGCCGTCAAGTTCACAGTTGCCTAAGCCAGTCAAGGACAAAAACCCATAGACCTTGACAATGTCAAGGACGTCAGCCCACCACCACCTCTAGCCGGAAAGAAAAGAAAGGCTTATCAACTGGTGGAGGTGAAGAAAGAGAAAAAATAGCAATCACTGACCAGTGAACGGTCGGATGAGCTACGTCCCAAACTGGCTGGTGAATATATTGATATACCTCTAGATGACAGCCGTCTAGAGCGTACTGTTAAGGTTGGGACGGCTGCTTATGCTAAGATGGGTGCAAATTTGCACCTATTTCTAAAAGAATTCAAAGACATTTTTGCCTTTGAAGTGGAAGAGATGCCAAGCGTCAGCCCGGATCTCGCTGTCCAAAAACTCGTCGTGGATCCAAAAAAGAAGCCCATCCAACAAAAGAAAAGAAATCACGGCGAGGTAAGAAGTCAGGCGGCAGCTGCCGAAGTTAAAAAGCTGTTAGATGCTAGGTTCATTCGGCCATG